GGATAATTTATTGACATACTAACTGATATATAAATTCTTTTGTATATGGGTTTCGCTCCCCTTTGGTGCATGTAATTAATACAATTTACACTTTTTATTTAAAAAAGAAACCCACCAAAGACACCAATGATAAACACCCTTAATCCATCTTATCCACTTCTCGTGGCACCTTTCCTTCAGTTTTCTAGTCTACACCACGTCATTAACAATAGGGTAAAATACCATATTAATCTCTGAAGTTTGGTACTTATTTCAAACATCTAGTTTTTTGGTATTTTTTAGCGAGAAAAACTAAAATAGTTATACCATTATCAAATACTTTAAAAAAATAACTTAAAAAAATAATTTTAACTAATTAATTAAATTAACATATTGATAAATTAATAGTAATATTAGGAGTTTTTTTAATTGTTATAGATGTATTAATTTAATTAATTAGTCAAAGTTATTTTTTAAGTTATTTCTTAAAGCATCTAAATATGACATAACTATTTTAGCTTTTTTAGTTAAGAAATGAAAGGAAAATGGATGTTAAAACAAATAAAAAATGTTAGATATTAAATTGTAACAAAAAATATTAGGGAACAATTTGTAACAAGTGCCAAACTTTGGTGACCAATTTAGTAATTTGCCATTCACAATAAAAGAAATATTAAAGAGAACTTTAAGCAATCTTCCCATTTATTATCTATCCCTTCTCTCTATTCCGGTTGGTGTTGCTAGAAAGTTGGAAAGAATCCAATGTATGTTCCTTTGGGGTGACTCGGATGACCTGAGAAAGTATTTCCTTGTTGCATGGAATGAGCTCAAGAAATCAGTTAAAGTTGGGAGGCTGGGAATTAGATCTTTGTTGGAAATGAATCAAGCTCTGTCATGAAAGTGGTTTTGGAGGTTTATGTGTGAAGATAGGGGTTTTGGAGAAGATCGATTCTAGCCAAATATAGGCTGGAGGATATGGGGTGGTTCACAGGTGGTTTTGTTGAGTATCATATTTTATTATTTGATTATTTTAGTTTATTATTTAATTAGTTAAGATGGTGTAGTCAGAATTTTAGTAGAATAGTAATCTCATATAATTAGGATTCTAGTATAATAGTTATTTTTTAATTAGTAGGTTGAGAATTATATAAATACCCTAATTATAACAACTTAAATGGTGAAAAATAAAATTTATAATTTTTCTCTAAAATTTACATAGTATTAGAGTTAAATAAAATTATTTTAGGGTTTTCTTCAAACCCCAAAATATCACAATAGGGTGAGTTAGTACCCATTTATCCAACTCTACCTTTATCACCACTCTAAACAGCGTCGGAGCCTCATTACAGATCAGATTGAAGAGAGAGGAAACAATGGCGGCTGCGGCTGCGGCTGTTGATAGATCTGAAACTAGACAAAGCTGGTACACTATTTGGTGGGGCGACCTGAAGACGAAGTAGATCTGCGCGCGCGAGGAGGAAGACAGCCTGTGAGTGCGGTTGGAGAAGTCGAACCGTGCGCGGTCGGAAAGGTGAGATGCGCTTCGGCATGACCAAAACTAAAGAAGGTGACCGCGCGGTGGCTTTTCGATGAACTGTTGCGCTCAGGAAGACAAATATGTCCGGTGATTTTTTGAAAGAAGAGGGCCGGAGAAGAAGAGACCGCAACTGTTTGTGTGAAAACAGAAGAGCTGGAGACAGATCACACAGTGGAGCGCGGCGGAGAAAAAAACCAAGCCTCGGCAGCCAGCTCCGGGCGCAGGTAGAATCAGCATGTTTTCGACGCGATTTCATTAGATTCGTGCAAGATCTGAGCTGGCGCAAGCTTCTGTGTTGATTCCCGGTGAGTTCTTGGTGGCGCGTGGCGGTTTCTAGCGGTGGACGTGGCGGCGCCTAGTGGTCCAGTGGTAGGGCATCCGGCGGCACGTGAGAGCTCGTGTCGTACTCCGGTGGAGGTTGAGCCATTTTAGAGCCGAGCTTGAGCTATTTTAGAGTCAAACCCGAGCCATTTTGAGACAGACCGAGTCGTTTTGAGTCGAGCTGAACCATTTTGAGTGGGATTGAGCTGTCTTGAGTTAGACCCAGTCATTTTGAGGCAGGCCGAGCCATTTTGAGCTACATCGAGCTGTTTTGAGCCAAACCGAACTAAGCTGCTGCCTAAAAGATTTAGTTTCAGTTTGCAATTTGGTTTGCAAGTTAGGTATGTGTGATATTCCTGTACCAACTTGAGGGGGAGTATTGAGTAGTATATTTTATTATTTAATTATTTTAATTTATTATTTAATTAGTTAAGATGGTGTAATTAGAATTTTACTAGAATAGTAATCTAATGTAATTAGAATTCTAATAGAATAGTTATTTCATAATTAGTAGGTTGATAATTATATAAATACTTCAAGTATAACAACGTAAAAGGTGAGAGGTAGAATTTATATTTTTTCTCAAAATCTAGAGGTTTGCTTTGATATGAGGAAAGGAGCCTATGGAGGAAGATCATTGATGGTAAGGATGAGGTTCTGAATTGCATCAGTTGGAGTGTAGGGAGTGGGAATAGAATCAGATTCTGGAAGGATAACTGGCTGGATGGAGAGAGTCTCAAGACCCAATTTCCACATTTTTTCTTTTGCGCAAAATAGAGATCTTAGAATTAGTGATTACCACTGTGATGCTGCCGGGGATGGAGGGGGGTGGCTGGTTTTGGTTACAAGGCATCTTAATGATTGGGAAATTGGTGAGTATGAGGGGTTGCTGAGCATTCTATCTTCTGTTTCCCTTAGTGACGAGAATGACAGGCCAAGATGGAGGTTTGCGAGGGATGGTTCTTTTACAGTGAAGTCCTAGTATGGGAGGCTTGTTGAGAGAGCTGAGGACACTGGTTAGTTTCCTCATAAGTAGATCTGGAAAGTCCAAATCCCTCCAAGGGTATCTTCTTTTGCTTGGGAGGCCTCGAGAAAATGTATTATTATCATTGATAAGTTAAGAAGGAGAGGGCAGATGCTGGTAAAATGTATATGTGCCTTCAGGAGGAGAGTTGTAACCATCTGCTGTTATGGTGTCCTGTTTCCTTCAAGTTGTGGTCTTTGATGTATCGGGCGTTGGATATTAGTTGGGTTATGGTAGGGTTGGTTAAAGAGGAGCTGTAGGTGTGGGAGTATCTTTTTGCAGGAGTGTTATCGGTGAAGTTATTACCCTCACCATTGTTTGGACAGTATGGTAGGAGAGGAACATAAGGGCTTTTGGAGGGGTTGAGGATTGTAAAAGTTTTGATATTTTAAAGAATAGATGATTTAAGACCATTGAGTTTTTGTTGACAGGTCATGCAACAGTGGTCATGGATGATTTTTATCATTTTTGTCTCGTGATGACTGAGCTGTAAATGTTGTACATGGGTTTCATTTCCTTGGTGCCTATAATAATACAATTTATACTTTTTATTTAAAAAAAAGAAATATTAAGAATTTGCTTACCACCCATAAAGACACTTCGATTGAAACCAATAGTATCATTCAAACCCACCCTCAATCTTAGTGATGACAATTGGTGGGTTTTACAAAACCTGAACCCATCTACCAGTAAAAAGAGCGAGTTTAAATTTTTTAAAATTTGCAGACTTTGTCAGGTTTGCGAGTTACCTGATCCGATTATTTTATTATGTTAGTATAAATGTAATTATGTTTATATTAAAAAATATAAATATATTTATCAATATAAATATAATATATTTACAATAATAAAAATTAAAAAATGTATATATGTAGCAGGTCAAGTTTGTACAGATTTTGGAAGACCAAACCCTAATCGCCCCTACTCAACCCTTTTGTCTGACCAAACCAAACTCGATCCAATCTGAATCCATACTTTAATGAAAAAACCATGTCGGATCAGATTCAAATGAGTCAGAATAAGTGGATTTGAGTGCAAAATGTCATCATCACTCAATCTCATAGAGAGTACCTTTATGATAACCTTATACACTAGTCACTAATGATATAATGAAAATTATAAACATTTTTAGACCTCTCATTCTTTGGTACCACCAAGTTGAAAGAAAGCAATAGGAATACCATATGGACCAGGAGACTTATCAAGATCGAGTTCCAAATGGCCTTCTTTACCGCTTCCTTAAGGGAAGGTCTTTCTAGGCAACTAGCTCTATTTGCTCAATTGGGACTCCAAGTGTTGTCCTCCAGAAAAGGATGGTCTTTATCCTCCATATTTAAAGGTCAATGATCTCCCTCCCTATAGCTATACAGTCTCGCTTGAGTTTATCTTCAACTCCAATTCCTTAATGGAACTGTTCCTTCTTCTCCCATTGGAAACTTTATGAAAAGATCCTGATTGGCATTTCTATCCGTAACCCGTTTGATTCTAGATTTTTACCTTCAGCTATTCCTTGATGGTTTCTGTCTCAAAAAAAAATTTATTCTTTGATGATAACCTTTTCAAACTAATCCCTTAAAGAGGATAACCTACCCTTATTGATCCTAAGAAATGAGATTAGCAGCAGTCAACTTATGTAGGAAAGAAAGCTCCTTGGGAAGCTCTTTGTTTCCTGTTACCTACATGGGCATCTACTTCTCATCTAGAGGGGTTCCTTTCCCCTGCTCTTTTCAGTGTTTGTGGGAGTAAGTAGGCTGTCTTTCCAGCATGGCGCCTTTTTTTCGCTGGGGGTGTTATGATTGGAGAGACATGCCAGATTCTCAAAGGACATATTTTCTCCTTTTTTGGCATGTCTAGGTAAGGCATGTGCGTATTTTAAACACTATTCTTTCTCTACTTTATATAGAGATTGAGTAACAATCTTTGGTTGAGTGATGTTGGGCTCTCTCTGTTTTCCTTTTATTTCTTTTTTATTTTTGGGAGGATGTCTAGTCTTTCCTTGCTGTATTCCTCTTCTTTTGTCTAATAAAGATTGTTTGAGATGTTTGTTGGAGACCACCAATAAGTGGTATTTGAGATGTTTGTCTTCATGTGATCTTAACCTAAAAATTTGTTTCTTTTGTTGGTTTGAATTTGTGATAGGTACTCGGTGCCTGGGGTTTGGGCTGGGAGATATGGATGGATGGGATGGAGATCACACAATTCACCTACTTCCAACAGGTTCTTTCGTGCAATCATTAAACATTTTTTGTATTTCCACTTTGGATATTTGGCTTCTATTTTTAACTTTTGGAACGTAAGACATTTTTTTGCTCATGTTTAGGTTATGTTATTCTAATCATATTTTAATATGTTATATAGTGGTTACACTAGAAGTTCTTTGTTCTCCATTTCTGTAGGCTGGGAGTCTTCAGTTGTCACCAATATCCGTTGAAATCACTTACGGACTTGAGCGCATACTTATGTTGCTTCAGGTCAATATGTATCTTTTTCTTTCGTATTACATTTTTTTTTGTTGATTTACTAGTCTTGCTTTATATTAATTCAAATGATTGGCAGGGAGTTGATCATTTTAAGAAAATTCAGTATGCTGATGGAATTACTTATGGGGAGCTGTTTTTGGAAAATGAGTAAATAAACTTCTCCTTAACTTTTTGTTTCTTTTGGTATTACTTCATATATAGTCGTTTTGACTGATTTTAATTTTTTTGGCTGAAACCCAGATTACTTCTAAGGAAGTGGCTGACACTGGCCAGCCAGGCCAAGTGCTGGTGGTTGCATTGTATATAATTTTTCCGTATAACTATATTTAACCCCTTCCTTAGGAGAAGTACAACTATGGAGGACTGCTTATCCTCACTACAGAAAGAAAACAAAAAATAAAAAGAAGAAAGAAAAGGAGAAATTTGGCAATACCAAATAGATTATGGTTTGAAATCTCTATGCAAAATAGCCGGAAAGTAATTTAGAACATTCATTCCCTGTAATCCAAAGAGATGCAAAAAAAAAAAAATCTATTACAAAGAAAAGAAAAATGAGAGATATGATGTCTGAAAATCCTAGTGTTTTCTCTCTTGTTAAATCATTCACAACTCAACAAAAATAGCCTGTGCCCCGATGACTTTACATCTTTTTTCCTATCGACACCACAGAGAGTAGATGATGAGGAGAAACCCAAGAAACTTCGGAAGTATCAACTAAATGGGTCCAAAGTCTCCAAGCCATATCCCTATGCAGAAAAAAGGAGATTAAGAGACAATTGTTTGAAGCACACTAACGCAGTCTAGGGGATAAAGCACGATTCCACGTATGAGTCTGGAACAAATTGTTAGTATTCACCCTATTTTAAACTGCAGTCCAAACAAAGATCTTAACCTTAGAAGGGACATAACCTTCCAGCAATACATAGTGAAGACATTATTATGAATAGAAGTATTACCTACAAAGAAGGACTTGAAGATAAAAGTTCATGAAGAGTAAAGAACAAACTCTACAGTTGATTGGAGAAAAGAAAATAGAATAGAGCAGCTGAATAAAAAAATCACAACAAAAGCTTCACAGTCATTAAGATTTCTGAAAAAGAACAAATCCAGTGAAAGGTAACCTGCTGCCTGATAAAGAAAGAAAATATAGGTGTTTTGACTCTTGGACAAATTGTACAAATGTGACAAAGAGCAGCTAGGAGAATGTTGTCAATCTTGAGACTTCTAAAAATAAACATGTGAACCGTTATCCACCCTTAACTTGACCAAGGGAAGAAAAGGAGCATAAAGGTTCAATAGCTTCCTACTCTTGTAAGTAGTAGAAGAATTGATGTTGGAGTCCCAAATGTACCGATGTAGACTAAAGTTACTCTTAATCACCCACCACAACAAAGAGTTCAGTTCCAAAGAAAATTGCAATAACCTTTCAGCCAATAAAGCTAGGTGTCTACTAGAAGGTTTCAATCTATGCATGTTTTGTTTGACCATTTATTCTACTCTTCAATGTTTATCCAGCAAAGATTTTGTGTTATCAATTGAACTATCAAAGCAGCCTGCAGCATGAAATGCTGCTCCTTACTTTTTATGTAAAACACAAAGTAATATATTTTGAGATACTTTGCAGGAAGGAAATGAGTGAATATTATCTAGAATGTGCCAGTGTTCATCATCTTCAAAAACATTTTGACCTTTTTGAGGAAGAAGCTCGTTCACTTCTTGCCGCAGGCCTTGCGATTCCTGCGTATGTTCAGAAAGTTTTTATATATTTTCCATTGTTCCTTGGAAATATATATCTAGGGTTGCCTTCTTTATTTAACATTTTCTTCTTACATGCTAGGTATGATCAGCTTCTGAAGATGTCTCATGCTTTCAATGTCCTCGACTCTAGAGGCTTTGTTGGGGTCACAGAGCGTGCTCGTTATTTTGGTCGAATGCGTAGGTGAGATTAGCTTATGTGGTTATTGATTTGATTTGTGATTGAGCAGGTGATTTTAATGAGAAAACTAAAGATTTGAGTGGGGAAAGATTGTGATATTTTTGTTTTACATTTGTAGAAATGGATTTGATTACTGCTTTATAAGGGACCAAGGCTTTCAATACCAATTACTTAAACTTGAGTTTTTGAGTACAAATTATTTTAGCCCAAAAATTACTAAGCTTTTGATGCTTGGTCCCCAGGCAGTACAAGATTCATGTCTTATTTTCATAAAACAAATTGCTCTAGTGGCAATGTAACATTAGTGGATTCCTATAAGAAGTTGACACAGTCAAAGTAGGGATCATTTTTTTACTTGGAATAAATCCAACGCAAGTGGCAATTAGAACTTATAGAACCACTTTGCATGCAACACGTTTTTCTACTTTCTTTCAAATGGTTAAGAGGATGTTATATTTATTCTGCATAAATGATTCCCTTGCTCCCTTGCTCTTTCTCCAAACGTAAAAGTTGTCCCAAATAAAGGAAAGATAACATAAAACATTAATAGTGATGAGAAGGTGATAACAAGGACAGCAATGATTATGATAAATAAGTAAATCAATTAAAAGTTTTTTTTTCCTTTCATGTAGTAGTTGATAAGTTGCAAGAAATGGCTCTAAGAATGAGGAAATAGAAATTGAAGCTTGATTTTCTTTCATTGAATTCTGAATTGGTTTATTATCTAACAATTCTAAATTGAAGGGAATCATATCTACATCAGCATTAACTTATTGTTAGTGGTGACAAAGAACTACAATTTTTGTTCCTTTTATCTTTCATTTCAGGTTCTTGACATCCACTGGTGGGTTCGGAATTTGGTACCAAAAAGTATTTACTCCAAATTGTTGCTTATTGTTAAAGAAAGTGTATTGTGTAAATTAGGTTAAAGGGTATAAGGTAAAATACATCATATGTAATTAGATGTCTATTTTCTTTTCTATTTTAGAAAACCTATATATATAAAATTATGATATTTAATAAAATATATATTCAAACCATCTTAATATTTTTTTTTGAGGTAAAAGAGAGAAACAGTATAAAAATGGACGCCAAGGGGGGCATAACCCATATACAATAAATCAAACCATTCTAAACATACTATCAAAGGCATAAGTTAAAAAATTATTCACCCTTTTATAGATTCTACTCAGTGTTTATTGTTGAAATAGAAAACCATAGGAAGACGGCCATCATTGCGGCCTCCCTCCATCACCCAAATAGCTGGCCACAGATCGACAAGTAGCCATAAAAAAGGCTCGTTGTTGCTTATGGCAGCCCAGCCGGACGTCTGTGTTCCTCAATCCATGTCTCTAGGTTCTATCCACATAGCATAGTCACTAATCCCTTGCACATCTATCTAGCCGCCAAAATCACATGTTTGCACTTGCCGCGGCCACCATCTAATAGCTGTTGGCGACCAATCCACCCAAATTGGCCTTCATCGCCAATAGTAATAGCAACAAGGCGCAAGCCGAGGTTCCCTTCTTGCAACTAGTTGTGCATAGCCACCCTTAACCCCAGTTGCAAGCCGCAAGTAGCAGCTCCCTCTTGCGCATAGCCTGCCCCAGCCACTTGGTCAACTTGCCAGAAGCCAGTTGCTCTATATGCCCTAACTACCAGTCTCCTCTGTTGTGCCCAACAACTAGTTTGCCAACCAGGTGCTTTCCTAGCACCTCTTTTAGCTAGACAAACACAAACGCGTGACATGTTGGTAAAATTCTTTCTGTGACTTTTACTGGGCTTTAGTTGTCATACAACTCTTAGAGGATGTCGAAGGTAGCATTCCAAAATACTAGAAGAAACTTCTACGTGAGAATTCCACACACAAGACCAGCGAATTTAAGCCAATTCAGACTGCTTATCGTTTCATGAACAAAGATTATCAGAACTGGTTTCAATCAATCTGGACCATCCTCAAGGGAAAAAGCAAGCTCAACCATCTTCTGTGTATTAGATCAAAACCCAGAGACCCAACCTTCGATGCTTGGGATAAAGAAAATTCAACAATCATGGTGTGACTCTGGAATTCCAGGCCCCATAAATCAACAAGACCATGATGTTTCTGCCCATAACAAAAAAGTATGGGATGCAATCAACGAACCACACTATAAAATTAAGGATGCCGCAGTAGATTTATGACATGACTATAAAGATGTGGTCCATCAAGAAAGGGAATAGGTCAGTCAATGAATATTATAATATATTACAAAATTGGTTGTAGATACTGGACTAGTACCACAGTCTTATAGTGAATTCTAGTAGGGATGCAACCCGCCTAAAAAAATTTGTGGAAAAAAGATTGTGTCTATTAGTTTTTAGCAGGATTAAATCCTGAATATGATTGAGTAATGATTCAAATCTTGGGAAAGGAGGAACTGTCATCACTTAATGAGATAATTTTCATTGTAACTGCGGAGGAGAGCGAGAGGAGAGTCATGCTAGAATCCCACTCAACTGATAGTTCAACTTGGTGTCACAAGGCTTTAAACATAGCTAACTGCAAGGGAACTGAGTCACTCTGGGAACTTATCTTGTAGAGTGGATAACAGGAATAATCTTTGATGTATCTTTTGTAAGAAGTCTAGACATACAAAAAAAAGTTGGAAATTGCATGGTAAACCCAATATATCCAGTAAGGAATAAGGATAAAGAACTACTCTTTAGAAGATTCTAGAACAAATTCATGTGGCCACCTAGCGGAAGGAAGAATAATCTGCTGATTTTATTACTTTCAAAGCTGAAATTGAGTGACTGTGAAGTTGATTGTAGAATCTTGAGAATCTTACAGGTACGTGGTTAATAAAGCACTCAGGTACACTCTCATTTTCACACGTTTTGGATGACATAGATAAATCATTTGAAATTCATGGACTATAGAGTCAAAAGTCATTGATCATATGATTAATACTTCTAAACATATGTTCCCTAATCAAGTAATAAAAAAATTATTGCAGATGATTCTTTCAATGTTATTGCAAGGAAGGAAAACGTTAGGCTTTGCCCTAAATTAGTTCTAAAAAGTGTTACATGTTCGTAAATTGTATATTAATAATGTGTCGGTCAATAAGTTATCACAAAATTTGAACTGCAAAGTAATTTTAATATTTTCTCGTTTTGACTTTTAGGATCAGAATTTGGAGAAGATGATTGGATGTGCTGAAGTCAGAATCAGTTTTCACTATTTGGATACATGTGGGAAATTAGGCACCTATATTTTTCTATCTTAAAGGTTTTTTCTTTTGTTATTTAAGAATTCAGAATATGAGAGTTTATATTGTGATATATATGAGTTTGCCAAACATAAACGTGTAACATTTTCTATTAGTTACAAAAAAGTTTAGTTCCATTTTCATTAATCTATATTGATATTTAGAGACATACATACCTAATATTTCTGAGATTCGATTATTTGTGTCATTTATTGATGATTGCACTAGAGTCATCTGGTTTTTTTTTTCTTAACACCAAATATGATGTTAGCCATATAATCCCTAGTTGCCCACTTTGATTGACAACTATAACAATTCGAGGTGGAAAATACATTTCTGCATGAGACCTAGAATAAGAAATCTATATGAAGATCCCACAAGGTTTGGTTGGAGAAGCGAGAAAAAATAAGGTGTATAAATTGAAGGAGGTACGCTGTGGACTCAACTGATTTCCAAGAGTATGATTTGGCAAGTTCGTAAATGTGATGATAAACTTGGGATATAAGCAGGCTCAAGGTGGCTACACTCTATTTATCGAGCACTTAGATGTAGAGGGAGTTATAACTTTTTTAGTATATGTTGATGATATTATTGTAGTAGAAAATGATGAGAAAGAAAAATTGATCCTAAAGCAGTGCCTGACAAGATAATTCGAAATCAAGAAGTTGGGTTAGTTGAAATATTTCATTGGAATTTATGTCACCGGCTCAAAATCTACGATCTTCATTTCTTAGCAGAAGTACATTTGACTTGCTAAGAGATATTAGCAAGGTAGATGTAAACCATCTAATACTTCTATTGATCCCAATCATAGATTAGGAGTGACAGAAGAAGATACACCAGTAGATAAGGAGATGTATAGAAATTAGTTGAAAAATTGTCTCATAAGAGATCAGATATCGTCTATGTAGTGAGTGTTATAAGTTAGTTTATGCATAACCATAAAGAAGTATATTTATAGACAAAGTATAGGATATTGCATCACCTAAAGGGATCACATGGTAAAGGAATCTTATTAAGAAATGGTGATAAATTATTTTTAGAAATCTATATAAATGCAGATTACGCAGGGTTAGTTGTGAATAAAAGATCAACCACAAGTTACTGTACCTTCCTTGGGGATAGCCTAATTACCTGGAGGAGTAAGAAGCAAAATATAGTTGCTGGATCAAGTGTATAATCAAAATTACGGATAATGACCCAAAGGGTATGTATACTATTGAGATAAGAAAAATTTTATAAGATCTAAGAATTAAATGAGATAGTCCTATGCGTCTATACTGTGGCAACAAGTCAGGCATAAGCTTCGCATACAATCCGGTGCAACATGACTAGAACAAACATTTCGAGGTCAATAAACCCTTTATCAGAGAGAAATTTGTGTGTTATAATATGTACTCCATACGTGCCTAACAGTTCACAGCTAATAGGTATGTTGACTAAAGGCCTAGGCAGTTCAACATTCTAGATAGACTATTTCCCAACTTGAGGAAGAGTGTTAAAGGAAATGTATCATGTAAATTACATCAAATGGTATAAGGGTAAAATGCACCCTATATAATTAATTGTACATTTTCTTTTCTATTTTAAAAAAGTTGTATATATAGGGCTGTGATATTTAATAAAATATACATTAAAACCATTCTTAACATTTATAAACATAAATCTAACATCCTTGTTAAGTAAACTAAAAGGTTGCTCAAAGAATATACTTATTAGGTGCTTACTAGTATTTCTTAAGAGAAAGATTTCTAGCCTTACATTTTGGTCCTTCTTTTAACATATTATTTATCTATTTATCTTCATACTAATCTCCTCTCTCTCTCTCTCTCTCTCTCTCTCTATCTTACCAAAGACAAGAATGACATTTTTACAATTAGTACTTTTTGTTCGAATATTTACCTGCTTGTTTCCTAATTTGGCATTTAGGTTTAAGTCGCAATGAGCACATACCATCTTTCTTTCAGTGAATTAAACTGGTCTTCAAGTGTGGTTGCTTTTTTTGTTTTTTTTTATATTTTGAGATCAATAAATATGCATTGTTATTTCTGTAGTAGCAATAATATGGAGTTTAGTCCTAGGTTGACTTTGAGCCAAAAGTTTAAGGTCTACTTTCATTTTCATTCTGTTGGATCCTCTTAATGCTTTATCAGGCAAGATAATTGATCAATGAATTAATCAAGTTAACTTATGTTCTCTTGTTGCAAATTTATAAAAAAAAATTGTAACATTGTTTTATTTAGAATAAATTCACTTTGATATATTGGAATACCGATGTACATAATGTGGCCAATGGGTTCATTATGCCAAACAAGTTTTAGGTCTATGCTTACTTAAAATATATAGTTCGACGTTTTTCATTAACATTTGTTTCTCTGCTCATCTTTTCTTGACTTACCAGTTTAGCTCGGCAATGTGCGCAACTGTGGTTAAAGACCCGCGAATCTCTTGGACATCCACTGGGTATTGTTTCTGAAGCTGCTGATCTTGTTTGTACGAAAGAAGTTTTGGATGCTAATATCAAAAAGGTCAGTCTGCATCATTTTTCCCCCTTCTAAATGTCTGCATGCTGAACATTTTTCTTTCTTGTAACTTTCAAGGCTTACTTATTCTTTTTAATGAAACTGACTGCATTCATTAACGTGTAGAGATTTGGGAACATATAATAATTGAATATTTGTTTTCTGGCAGAACAGTAATAACTAATTCTTTTTTCTATTATGTCTATTTAATACATGATTATAATTATTTTATTATTATTTGTTAGAAAAAGAAATATTATTAGAAAAAATAGAAGAGGAACTAGAAGAAGAGAGGATAAGACATGTCTGGAAATCGCCTGCAACATAGTAGAAAGAAAAACAAAAGGGAAAACAAAACCTCAATACAAAATAGCATTGGATTTCCTTTGTAACAAGGACAGGAGACGTCTGTGAAGCACTCGGTTTCCTTGGTCCACAAAGAAGCAAGGAAAGCTATTTTCTTCCAAAGAACAGGAGAGGAAAGATAATTGATCCTTGAAAATTCTAACATTAGTCTCAAACTACAAAATCCACAAACTAGCAAAGAATTGCAACTCCAACCAATCGTAGCTTCGTTCTTCCCCCAATCCCCTTCAGAAAAGTTCCAAAAAGCATAGTCCAAATTTCCAAGCTACATCAAAAGAAAAAGGTAACAATGGGATTCAACCCTCCTGAAGCACATAACACATACGTTTGGGAGAAAGCATGGTTATTTCTATGAGCTTGCGACATATCATTTGTATTAAGTATGTTGAGAACAAGAATACAATCAAAACCTGTTATCTTGAAGGGAGTTTTAACTTTCAAAAACACTAATGCAAATTTGATTTTTGCAATTGGCATTATGAGTAAGATAGGAAGGAAAGGACTTGCTGGTATAAATATTTGAGGAGTCCAATGTCTCTATGAGATTGAGTGGAAATATGACAGGCTCAAGTTAATTAGAAAAGGTTAGATGCATATTACTAAGTTCTCAAACATTTAGGTTTCTGAAGAAATAAATATTTCATGAGGTATGAGCTTCAAATCGATTAATGACATCATGAATAGGAGCATTATGGCACGGGGAACAGTTATAAAGACAAGGAAAATGAGGGGTGATTGAACAATCCGCAGTTTAATTATCTTCTTGAACAAAATGCAAGATCTATCTCCCACGGTCATGGGGATAGGAGGAACAAAAGGTAATAAAGCTGAGAAATAACTCTCAAGGAGCTCCTGTGAGCTGTAGAACTTCTAGTTTTAGAGTTCCAACTGCGCATCTTCATACTATGAATGCTCTTGCTCTCCCTGTGCCATAGAAAAAAAGTTTCTTGCGGAAAACACAAAATAAAGCCATTTAGTTAACAAAGATAAGTTTTTCAATACCAAGTTCCCAGTACCAAAGTCACCAGACTTTTTAGAGAGAGTGTACATCCCACCTCACTAGATAATCTCTTGAAACCTCACCCATCCTAGCGATTAGGATGTACTCGCGTGGAAGGGTTTCAATTACCAACTAACTTTCTATATCCATAAGGATCTGCCAGTAGTTCAACCACATCTGCTAGGATCCATCAATGCAAAGAAAAAAAGGAAGAAAGTTACATCATTTTGGAGGAGTAGGGTCGAATAGGCGATAGTGGAAAGAAGAGTACATCATCGAAGAACTATGGGTGCATCAACAAAAGAGAAAAAAAAAAAGAAAAAGCAAAAACAAAAATCAATAT